TTAGGGGTTAGGGGTTAGGGGTTTCAAGCTGCGGCGTTTGGGATTCGAGGTTCAGGTTGAGGGCTTTGGGGCTTTAGGGTCAAGGGTTTATAGTAGAAGCCCAAAAAGTTGGAAACCCAATAGCCCCAATCCTTAAGAGTAACACATAGGGAATCCCAGCATTATTTGTCCTTACTCCGGCTTCCAACCATTTGGGGTTCACTATAGAACTACGGGTTAAGAGTTTAGGGTTTAGGGTTTAGGATAGGGTTCGTGTGTGGGCTTTGCTCTAGGATGTCGATTTTGTGTTTAGAGGCTTGGGCTTGCAGCTCGTATTGCAATGGGCGCGTCCAAGAGTCCTTACATTTTAGGGTTTAAGGTTTTAGGAATACTCGCCAGCAACTTCACCAACAAATGACTATTCGAGGTGTTCCGAACCTCCGAACCTCTCAAAAACAGGGACACTCCAGAGTAAACACAGTAATATCCCTAGGTCCTAGGGCCCTAGGGTTTAGGGTTTAGGGGTTTAGGGCCTTTCCACTCCACGTCTGGCCATCCTTACCTGAAGCCCCAGACCCAGCCCCTCGACCCTAAATCCTATAGACCCTACACCCTCGATGCAAAATCCGAACCTGCTACAGGGTTCAGGGTTTAGGGTTTAGGGCGTTAGGCTTTCATTCAAGCACTGCTGCGTCTCGCCTGCGCCGCCCTGTGGCCCGCCGCAGCCGCCGCCGCAGCCGCCGCAGCCACCGCAGCCGCCGCAGCCTGCCATAGTGGCCCCTCAACAATTAGACTCGGCGTTTGCCTCAAACCCTAAACTAGGTGTCGATTTCAACACTCCCCCAACATCCATGTATAATTAGTGCTCCACTTTAAACAATAAGGGAACCTAGAATATCTCAGTTCGAAACCTGCTAAAAAGCCTTACCGAAGCCTGCCAAGCATTTTACAGGTCTTAGGCTTAACATCCGGACCATGCAGGTGTTGGGGTTTCCGGTTTAAATCTCAGGGTTTCGGGTTTAGGGGAGTCCTAAACCCTAAGCCCTTAATCCTAAACCCCTAAACCCTAAACCCTAAACCCTAAACCCTAAACCCCTAAACCCTAAACCTTGACGCTGAAACCGAATCCTAGGGACCCACAAAGACTTGCTTCTACCAGGAATGAACAGGGTGTGCAGGTAAAGGAGGAGTTCTCTAAACTAGGTCCCTTATGAGGTCCTTTTTTTGTACGGGTGCCGTACTATATTGGCGACCTAGAAAGCGACCCTAATTTAGAGAACTATCCATATGCTTAACCCTTCAAGCCCTACAAACCACAAAGCCGAAAGCCCAAACCCTTAAATCCCTGAACCCGAAGCCCCTAAACCCCAAGTGCCCTGCAGTTGGAAAGTCCGAGGTTTAGGGGTTTAGGGGTTTAGGGCTTTAGGGGTTTAGGGGTTTAGGGGTTACGGTCTAGGGTTTAGGGTTCAGGGTTAAGGGTTTAGGGCTTAGGGCTTAGGGCTTAGGGCTTAGGGTTTAGGGTTTGGGGTTTAGGGTGGCGCCTTGCTGGAATCCGCCCGGCCCTCCGCCATAGGGCGAAAAGTGGGGGTTGTTCTGTTGCCCTCCCATGGGCCCGTATTGGCCTCGGCTGTCTTCTGTGCTTGGGTTCGTAGGCTCTTGCCGTCAGCCCTAAGATGAAATTTATAGAGGGCCCTACAAAAGAGTAGGGGTTGAAAAACCCCTAAGCCCCTAAACCCTAAAGCCCAACCCCTTAACCCAGGTAGGGCTTCGCATTGCTTTGTTGTGGTTTGTTTGGGGGGATCTTCTTTATAATCTATAATCCTAAGCCCTCTAACCCTAAGCCCTTAAAGACTCATAGTCTCCCGAAGCCCTAAACCCCTAAACCCCTAAACCCCTAGACCCTAAACCCTAAGCCCTAAGCGCTTCAAAAAACCTATAGCATCCTTACCAGAACCCTTAAAGGAACCTTGGCTAGGGCCGCCAGGGTTAGGTTCCCAGCGTCCTTTGGTTTTAAGCGGCCGGGTTTTGGGGGCCTTCTGGGTTTAGGGGTTTAGGGTTCGGGGTTTAGGGGTTTAGGGTTTGGGGTCTAGGGTTTAGGATTTGGGGTTTAGGGTTTAGGGCTTAGGGTTTGGGGTTTAGTGTTTGGGGTTTATGGTGGCTATTTACAGAAGCTGAACGCCGCCCAAAAGTAAAAATCTGAACCACCCAAACCCTCAACGCTCGAACCCCCAAATCCTAAACCCCAAGACGCCGAAAACCTCAACCCGAAATCCTGAAAGCAGGGTTTAGGGTTTATAGCCGAGCCACCTTGCATAGGTCCACCGAAGCTCTGTGGGCCACCGAAGCCCTGTCCGCCAAAATTCTGCGGGCCACCGAAGCCGCCCCCACCGAAGCCACCACCGCCCTTGGACCGATGGAGGACTCAGGGTTGGGGGTTTGGGGTGTTAGGGATTGCGGTTTAGGGTTGAGGGCTTAGGGCTTAGGGTTTAGGATTAGGCTCTTAGGGCTCGCTTCAAGTCTTGGGGGGGTTTGGGGTTCCATGTTCTGGATTAGAATGATTTCGAGCTCTAAAACCGGGCCACCACTGGCTCACACAACTCCGAGGCCCGGCTTTGGGGTCTCGGGATTTCGAAAGTTATGCAGTCTTCCCGTGAGGTTTGGGATTTAGGCTGATTTAGGGTGTTTGGTTTAGGGTTTAGGTTTTCAAGCCCCAGAAGCCTGTTACTTGAGCCGCAATCTTCAATGCAGAGTCCCATGGGTCTTTCTCATGCATGCAGCGTGCTGGGAATCCGCTCCAAGCTGAAAAAGGCTCGAAGCCCTGGAAGATCCCTAAACCATAAAGCCTGAACCCCTAAACCCTAAACTCTAAACCCTAGACCCTAAACCCTAATCCCCTGAACCCTAAACCCCAAACCCAATGCGATGCATCTGAGCTGCCTGTTGCGGGTAGCCTGGTCCACCATTCTCCAGGCACCATGTTACCGCCTCCCCAGTGGAGACGCTCGGGTTTAGGGTTTAGGGTTTTAGGGTTTAGGGTTTAGGGGTTGAGGGTTTAGGATTTAGGGTTTACGCCCCCGGCTCGCAGTAGCATTAGAGTCGTGCCATGGAGGTGCAGATTTCGAGTCTATAAATTTAGTGGTTGAGGTGAGGTTTACTTAGGGTTCAGCTTAGGGTCTCTGGTTTAAAAGTTTAGGGTTTTTATGTAGGGTCGAGTTTAGGCAAAAGGTAGGGTGAAGGTAGGCTGGGTAATACCATAATAAGAGTTCCTGACACAGGGGATCCGTAGTCCTACCTACCTTCTAAGCTACGGGGCTCTTGACTCGAAACCCTGTGGGCCCTCTTTGCTGGGAGATGTTCGGAGTAAAGCATCCAGGCAAGGACCGGGAGAAGGTT